GATAGACTTACCTCCACGTGATGTACCCTGGGCAACATATACTCATACGGCAAATAAGTCTATGAACCGGAAGTTGGCTTCAAACTACCATGACCCGACACTATGTCATATTGCACTACTTCCAAAATAATCTCTCAAACTAGGCTAGGTGTGCGATAGACTTAACTCCACGCGTGCACCCTGGGCAACGTATACTCACACGGCAAAAAAGTCCGTGCACCCTGGGCAACGTATACTCATACGGCAAAAAGTCTTTTAACTGCACCCTGGGGAACGTATACTCATACGGCAAAAAAGTCTAACACCCTGGGCAACGTATACTCATGCGACAAAAAAGTCTAAAATACGGGGTGTGCGATAGACTTACCTCCGTGATATATTTAATGAATGGGGTGTGCGATAGACTTACCTCCACGTTGTGCGAAATAGCAATGTGGGGTGTGCGATAGACTTACCTCCACGTGGTACGCCCTGGGCAATGTATACTCATACGGCAAAAAAGTCTATTAAATGGCTTGGAAACGTGACCTCATACGGCAAAAAGTCTATAAACCGCTGGGCAACGTATACTCATACGGCAAAAAAGTCTATTAACAGGAAGTTGACTTCTGAGTTCAAGCTATAAAAAAGTCTATTATTCGGCAGTTGACTTCTGACTTCAAATTACCATGACTTCTATTAACCGGCATTTGACTTCTGACTTCAAAATACCATAGCACAACTGCGGCAGTTGACTTCTGACTTCAAAATACCATGGCCCGACTGCTTGTCATACTCGACCCGACTTCAAAATACCATGGCCCGACTGCTTGTCATATTCGATCCCTTCCACAGTATTCATTTTACCATTTTCCCTACCTTTGTGTCTGTCTGCCTCTTTTGCATCTGTGAATCGCTCTTCTGTTCCCCGCCCCTCGACTTTCTGCTACTTTGATGAACCTTCCCTCTGTGAAGCCCGACGTCAGCTAAATGGTTAATGATAACTATCAAAACGCCTGTCATTTGAAATAAATATAAACTTCCAAAATACTCACTTTACCCTTCCCTACCTTTGTGTCTGCTTGCCTCTTTTCCATTTGTGAACCACTCTTCTGTCGTGTCTGTCTATCTCTTTTGCATCCTTGAATCACTTTTCTGTTCCCCCTCTTGAATTCTTCTCACTTTGATGTTCCTCCTCCCCTCTGTGAAGCCACTTTGATGTTCCTCCCCTCTGTGAAGTCCGAAGTCAGCTAAAGGGCCAATGATGACTATCGAAACGCCTGCCATTTTAAACAAATATACATATATATTTAAAACTGTAGCTTGTTTTCTATCCTACTCATTAGCTTACTCGTGTTTGGCTGCGCTTTCTGAGAATTTGCTTATGCAGTTCTAAGAGCCTAGAGTAAATAAGTGTTTGCTTTCATACTTATTAACACTCATATTTTATTTGTATACAACAAATAATAATAATAAATAGTTGTTGTTGCAAAACGAATGAATGAGAATGAAAAAAACCGATAAATAATTCCATTTGAGTGTATCAAACAGGAGTTTCCTTAGACTATGACTTTTGCCCCCAAATGATATTTACGGTTTAAAACCGACTCAGGAAGGGTAGAGAGAATACTGGGCTTCAGTCACTCACAGTGACACTACTTTCTTTTTTATGAACAATGTACCCATTTATAGAAATAATGCAACTAAACTTTTTTGCAGGTTGAGATACTGACCAGACCGTTTGGAAGTTTGTCGAAATATTGTGGTCAGCAAGCACCTACATATTAAATGGGTTTATACGAAAACTTAAAAGCCCCGCCAATACTCTCCAATATTGGGCTATTTTGGCATTCTAGCAGATGTTCTCTTTCAATGTTAACTATGTCAGGAATTGTTTGTGTAACATACGATTATGAAACTGGAGTCGAATTCAAATACTCGCACATGAATTTATTTGTTTTGAAATCGTCAAAAAAACGCTCTAAGGTCTAAACAAAAACTCGAGCTCTGCAGATGTCTGCTCTTATCATGTGCGAGATCTCAATAGTTCACTTTTCTTTTTCTGAGAAATAAACGTTCCATAAATATTTTTTGATTGCCAAATAATCGGATTAAAATTTTTCACGAAATTGACCAAATTTGAACACACTTTTTAGCGCAAAATGCACTCTTGAGGAGGAAATGATAAACAAAAATAACTTAGAGTTAGCAAAAAGAAAGCTCACTAGCTAAATTTTTTGCATGATTAATAATCTGAAAAGGAGATTGAAAAAGTCTAGTCACAATTCAACTAGTAATAAATTCGTTGAATTAAGGTCTCCTTAACTCAGTTGCTTCTTCTTCTTCTTACAAGAGCATCTACTTCCTACCCACATGTTCTGATATTACAAAGTGATTAAAAGTTGTATATCCGTATTCCTCGTCAAAATAAAAATATGAACGCAGCCAGAGCCTGTACCACTGGAATTTAAGTTAAAAGAATGAATAAATGCAGTAAATTTAATTTTAAAAAGTAAATTTTGTTTGCACACTTAAGTGCTTAATATGTCAATTCATGTTATCTGCGTTATAATTAATGTCTACACTCGAAACCAGTATCTATTTTTTAGGGAATCCCACACGACATCAGCCAAACTTTTATTATCAACCATTGTAAATCACAGGTTCCTCATGTGAGTGGTTAGAATTTGCATATCTATTGCATTAGAATTAGATTTCTTTTTGCTATACCGAAATGGTGAATGCATTAAGAGCTTTACTTTACTGATACCATGTACTTGGTCTCTTACCAGTACCATAGTATGAAAGGTCACACACTTTTTGAGAAGAATTACAAAAAATGGATTTTACCCCATATTCATATTTCAGGGTCCTATGAAAGAATGAAAACGAAAGACAACCCTGTAGAGGTTTACCACACTAGTAAGGCATTGACTAACTCAGAAATCTTTGTAGTAGATCTCCTATTAGGTATGTCTCCCGAAATCACCTATGTTACCACAAGAGGTAGAAGAAATACACGTACTACAAAGAGCACGTCTATTCACACAAGATGCGATATGAAATGTGAACACGCAGAAGCTTAGTCATATTCAGCAGGCGGATCAGTTCAATCACATGGAGGCTTCTGATTGACCACTAGTTGTGCGGTTGTCAGCGCAGTGAGTTGCACGGCGCACCTCCCAGTACATGCGATGACTTGTCCAACATCCCTTTAAAATGGTTGGCTTTGTATATGAAATTTTCACTAGCCAAAATACGAAGAGAAGATATTAATCCATTTGACGCGTTAATAATATTCAGTAAAATACAAAAGTTCTGTCAATATGGGAGTGTAAATAAAGGAACTGTAGTCAAGTAAATAAAGCAGGTCATATCTGTCCTAATTCCCGACCAACATTTTTCAGCACCTTGGTGGGTGAAGCCAAATGGCGATATGTGATGGACACGCAAGAGAACAATCATCAAAAGTGCATAAATTATCTTAATTGAGTTAAAAAATTTTTGTTGCCCTAAATACACAATAATTGGAAAGACTTTATTGGCTCACTTAATTATGTATATAAATTCATACCAACTGCAACATGAGTTAATTAATTTAAGTTTTTCTCAGCTGAACCTCAATGTGTTTTGCCATCTTCTATCTAGCTAACCTGCTTTAGGCTCTACAATTCACATCGACTGCTATGTCGGAGAGTGCCAATGTCCACTGTTTCTACTTTGTTCAAGCTTGTGGTCTTGAATTCTCTCCCAATTAAGGGGTCTTCATCGTGTGGAAAGACATCGGCCGCTCCATGCCTTGCAAAATCGTTGTCCCATTCATAGAAGGTGCCGCAGTGACCAGGAATCCATTGGAGGGCCACTGTTTTGTTTTATTCTCACATCAGCTGATAGAGTACTTTACATTCATATATCTCGGTCCTTTTGGGTGGCTCTCTCTTTTCAACTGAGTTTATCGCTGACTGTGAATCCGAAAGAATTGCTGCTTTGGTGAATTTCGTATCCAGGCAGCATAATTGGCCTAGTGCTATCCCAATGGCCTCTATTTCTCCTTCGAAAGTGCATCAATTGTATCCCACTGCTGCGTAGAACGAGAAGAGTTCAGAATAGACACCTGCACCAACGTTTGCTTGGTTCTCTATGTATGACCCATCAGTGAAGACTTGTAGCCATTAATCTGCAGGATAGTTGACATTGATTGTCTCAATCTGCAGGATAGTTGACATTGATTGTCTCAAGGGCCAGTAAGGGCATTTGTTCTGGAGGAGTGTTTGATTTCCTGAAGTGGTCAAGCAGTTGGGTGTAACACTCTACATCAGAGACTGCTAATGGGTTCACGTGAAGAGAAAGATTTTTGGGTTTGTCATCGATTTGTAATGCTTTCTTCAGTTCTATGGTTTTCTGTACTAGACCAGATTGCGTTTTCAGGTGTCTTGGTCTATTCTCATAGGTGCTGAAGAATTTATACATGGGAAAGCGCAGTAGCATCTCATACAAGATCAAGGCCTTCTCTTTGATAAGTGAACATATTGTAGTATTCCCTGTAACCAGGGGCATTACATCAATGAGTGTTGATTTCTTCCCTCCAGTAATTAGTCGTAATGCCTGATTATGTGCCTTCTCGAGTGGTTTGGAAGTCACCTCTATGGCTGTAATGAGTGGCTCACGGCAATACAACATTATTGGTTGAACAGACATGTTGTAAGTGATGTTAAGAGTTGAAAGTGCACAGCCTTATACGCTACCACCGAGACCCTTCAGTATGTTCGGTCTATTGGAGACTCGATCTGCTACTTTAGCAATGTGACTTTTCCATGTTAGCTTTGTGTCAAAATTGTTCAGGACATTCGGTCTATTGGAGACTCGATCTGCTACTTTAGCAATGTGACTTTTCCATGTTAGCTTTGTGTCAAACGTCATTATGAGATAAGTGAACTCGGTTTTTTCTATGATAGTATCCTTGACCACTAAAAGCGGGTTTATGTTGTGACGGGTCAAAGGAAATGTTTTGTATGCATTTTTCGCGTGCTGATAACAATCCCATTGTGGTCGCACCAGTTTGATAGTAGTTTAAGTGTATAATTTAGGGCACTATCCGTCCTCTCCTGTGTGTTTATCTTAGGGACGGAATACCATAGAACAAGATCATCTGTATAAAGTAAGCACTTGATGTCCGTGACTGTCTGTACCAGTTCATCTATGTCATTGATGAATACATTGAAAAGAGTGCAGCTTGTGACAGCTCCCTGTTGAAGGCCTATCTGTAAAAGATTAGATTTTGACAGAGCGTTTTCTTATCTGACTTTGCATGATCTTTATCCAATGAATGCTTTTATCCAGTTTAGCATGTTATGATTTATTCCCATCTTCGCCAAATTTAGCATTAGATTCTCTTTCCATACTAAGTCATATACTGATTGGAAATTGACGAAAACAGCCGTAAGAGTATTTCTTGCATTAAGGGAATCTTTGATATGTTTGTATAAAGTGGCTACTGGTTGGTTTTTGTAGAAAGTAACTACTTGTTGGTTCGTTGATCTTTGTGGCCTTAAACCTGCTTGTTCACTCCTAAGAATACTGTTGGTCTCAAGAAACCAGGTCAGCCTCCTGTAAACCAGTCTTTTCATAGTGTTCACTCCTAAGAATATTGTTGGTCTCAAGGAACCAGGTCAGCCTCCTGTTAACCATTCTCTCAACAAGTTAAGTCAGCACGCTTGTGAGGGAGATAGGTCTATAGTTATCAAAGTTGCTAGGGTCTTTGCCCTTTTTTAGTACTGATATTACTATTGCAACTTTCCATTGGTTAGGTAAGAGACTTGTCTCCCAGATTTTGTTGAAAAAGGTCAGCAAGGTTTCCTTGGCATTTGGTCCCATTATAATTACGAATTCCGGATAAATACCCTCTTCCTCAGGTATTTTGGATTTATCATAAATTAGAAGATCATATACATTTCATGAATAATATCTCCTTGGGTGAAAAGCTATTTAGCATAATACGATTAAACAATGTGTGTTTTGCTTAAATTAATTTTGAAGTGAGCTTATGATTCACATATTTCATTAAAATCGTTAAATAATTTCAGAGTTTAATTCTTTCTCCTATTCATTTCTAAGTTATTCATCATGACAAGATATCTGTAACTTAAAGTTTACTTTTCTATCTCATATCCAGACGTTACTTATGTATATTTTCTTGGAATTCAAGGTTTTTTGTTATTCCAATTATCCTAATTAATGAGGTTATCTTTAAAAGAATAAAGTTAGTCAGCGTTGATTGAGTAATGTAAATTGGGTCTCATGATTATTCTAGATATGCTTGAACTCTAAGGTCAATTTTTAATGATAATCCTCTGAAGTATAAAAAACTATTGAACGTTTGCAAAATATAGATCGAAATTGCATACATCATTTAAAACTATGCAACAACAGTGAAGAAATTAATAATAATGTGTTAATTAATTATTTTCAGATTGAGTCGTAATTAATATTATTGCTGATCTTTAAGTGAATGTAATTTAATATCCGCACGAAAAGAGTAGATATATTTTAATATAAGCATTTGAAATGTTAATGTAAGCATAAACGGATAATAGGTTTAAATATTTCATTTCACCCTATCTAGTATAAATTAGAACCTCTTAAAATTTGTCTTTAGTTTAGACGAAAATTTTCATCCATCCAACAGTTGAATAAATAGCTCATCATAGGTAAGAAGATCCTGCTTGTTTTATAGATGGAACTAATAAATGTGAAGCGGGGTTATATGCAATCGTGAAAACATGATTGAGTTCCTAACCTTGTAAAGCTTGCCCTACTAGCCTATGCCAATCTAACCTAAATAGCTATTTTCTCATACGCGGGATCATGCTTGGGGTCTGTTCCAGGATTCGATGCATAACTAATAGCAGCATTATGCACATTTGTTCAGCCATTCGGCCATTTTCATCTGTTTCCTCACAAGTTATATCGCAAACAGAACCAGGGATTGTTGATTCGCTTAAATATAAAATGGGAATCGGCCTAAGGTATAGTAATGGACGATTAAAGATGTCTGGCGAAAACATATACACTATCTGCGCAGAGTATCCTGAATTTATGGACTTTGTCAAAAAATTTAACCTCCCAGACACCTTTCAAACCTGGTTCTCTCTCACCACTTTACATATCTGGATGTGCCTTGTGCGTTTACGCAGAGAAGGACAAGAGGGCCGGATTATTAGGAATGTTTTCATCCAGGTTGGTCAAAACTACTTAAATGTCTACCACACCCTTGTAGTTAATATGGACAGACCTGAAAGGTCGGATGAAGCCCTTCGGTATAATTCGCAAACAACATAATCACGTAGATCAATTCAAAAGTCAATTCTTCGGCTCAGTTTTTGCCTATGACGAAGCCTTCCTGATGCATTCAGATCCCGCGTTAGCTGCAGCTCTTTGGAGAAACCTCTTTATCTCGTCCCCCGATACTTCAGCTGAGCAATTATTTAAACTAGTCCACTATATCCGAAAGCAGCTAGCTCACCTTAATAGCCTATCAAGCGATCAGATTGTTGGAAGAGGAATGCCAATGTTCTTGCGCTTAAACGAGGAGGAACTAAACCCCGAGTATGCCAATCGTCGCATACACTATTGTTTTACTTGGCCTGAATGGGATAAATGAGGCTTCATTTCTCAGGGACTTTTTTTTACATTACCTAAAATTAATACTTCGTTGCCTCCTTTCGTGATTTACAATGTAAAATTCGTCATTGTATTAAATATTCTAGCGCATATATATTGAGTAAGAGAGTAGAGTGCGCAAAGCATTTACATAACTCAATGGGAATGGTTTGTTTGTGATTTTAAGAATATGGGAGTAAGTCACAATGCGAATTCAGTACAAATATGACATCCAATGAGAGAATTGCAGTCACTTGAGACAGGAAGATGGTATGTCAGAACGAGGGTGAGAGAGAGATTAATCACAGGAATGTTTTGAGATCCCAGACCTATAATGAGAAGCTAGTTTAGTAAGAACGCTTTTATTCTTTTCACTAATATGCGTTGGAAGCCGAGTACAAAGACCCGGATGGCACCGTAGTGTATAATGAATTACGGCTTTTGGCGAAAAGGGAGTTAAAAATGGCAAAACTAGGAGAGATGTCGATAATAGCAGTGATGAACGGCTTGAAATTTATCCACACAAGACTAAGTTTATTGAAATTTAAATTAGATGCTGATCTATACAAGAACAGTTGACCAAAGCTCTCCAGGAAAAGATCCTGCAACATACGCCTTCGATGGATGACAAAATAACTATTAGTAAGCACTAGTGACATTTTAAGGTTGCCTGAGTTTAATTGCGCTCATGAATAATGAGATAGGTCAGGGTGGAATCCCGGTTGAGACGTCGGCTAACTGTTAGATAACACTACTAAGAGGGTTCAGTACATAACATAACGTAAACAGAGCAGAGAGAGCTAGTCATTATCCACGGGTTTCAGTTATAGGAACATGAACTGACCCAATTCTCTTTCTTCTGTGGTATTTCTCATGACCCATAGATGGTGGGGTGCGCGATAGACTTACCTCCACGTGATGCACTCTGTGCAACGTATACTCGTATGGCAAATAAGTCTATTAATCGACGGTTGACTTCTGACTTCAAACTACCGTGACCCTACCGTATGTCATATTTGGCCCCTTTCACAGTACTCATCTTACCTTTTCTCTACCTTTGTGCCTGTCTGTCTCTTTTACATCTGTCCCCCCTCTCGAGTTGTTGTCACTTTGATGTTCCTCCCCTCTGTGAGGACGAAGTCAGCTAAAGGGTTAACGGTAGCTATCAAAACGCCTGCTGTTTGAGATAAATAAATGACTCATAGATGGTTATCCAAACACCTAGTTTACTCCTCCCTCCTCTAATTTGTGTTGATCTGTAGGTCACGATTCCAGAGGAAAGTAGCTTTTAACTCGTAACGTTCTTGAAAATTTATTCAAGAATGTGTCATATCTTCCTACACAGCACTAACTTATACTATACCACGTGGAAAATATTACAATAAAATAGTTATAAAAATGCTATCAGAAAAGCTATCCCTACCTTGACTTCCTTGTTCTTTCCAATCGTCAGCATGATGTTCTGATCACCAAGGAGATGATGCCGGACAATGGGATGACGGGCATCGTAGTAATGCGCTAGGCTTGTTAGACTGAACAAAAATAAACAATACAGACCGTCAGAAATGAAGAATCATGCAACTTACTCTTCGCCGGAAATTGCCTTGAAACACTCGGTGCACATCCGGACTTCTCGTTCAAATCCCATGATGGGATAGACAGAACGATTCAGGGAACACTTCTCACATACTGCCTTTCCACAGCGTCGACAATGGTGCTGAAAGTCAATGGAAATACATTCATGTCAGAAAGCGCATTTATCTGTCATTTTTGTATGCAGAGCAATTTATGAAGATGGAATCTAAGCAATGGGTATTCTCAAAACTCAGTATCTTCTTTCCCATTTCAGATCAATATGAGTGTTAAAAACATTTAAATTTGACATTAGTAAGTGAATTGTCTTAAGATTATATCGCTAACACCAAGCCGACTTTATTTAACTTTTAATAGTCCGTATCTTAAATGGTATCTTACCGAAAGAAAACTCAGCAAAAAATCCATAAAAAGGTAGTGAAAGTAAAGTTTAGAAAATTTGTTAATAAACAGTAAATAGCTGATGGTTCTATTGCCGCATATTGCATAAAACAGACATTATCATTTCTATTGCAGGAGAGAGCTTGGATCTCTAAATGCGCGAGATAATAGGAATTGGTTATTGAAGCACGGGGTTATATTCATCACTTCTGAGTGTTTAAATTAAAACAAAGTGAAAAGCATACTATTGAAATACCAAATGCTATGATCTTACTAAACCCGCTGGAAGGAGGCGTCTTTCAAGAACTTTATTGAACAGTGAGATGCAAGACCGGCATTCTTGAAGCTCCATCTTCAATTAGCACTTTTATCAATTCTGCTCAATTTGTTTATAGTGGCGAGAGCTGAAGTACATGTTGAAAGCAAAACCATAGACGTAAGCACACTTTGGTGATGAAAATTTTCGATACGAAGTATATTTCAATAAAAAATTTACCAACTGAATAAATATCCCAGTTAATTAGGTATTCGATCAATGATTTCAGCTTCATTTTCACTTAAGTGTAAAAAACTAAATATAACGCTCCATGCAGCGAATATATAAACAATCCAAGACTACAAACAAAAAACAAAATTCTATATTCGCTGTTACTATTTGGAAAAATGATGATGCGTGCTTCAGGTATTTCACAGATAACATTACCCTTTATTTGATCTGACGACAAGGTTACCATTATCCCAACATATACCAGCTGATAAGTCACACTGATAAAACGTACTCGAATAAATTAACATTAATTAAAGTACAACTAACGCATACACACTTGGAGTTCGTGAATTATCGGCCAATTGTGCTTGGATTGCAGGTGAAATAAACAACTGTCGGTACAATCAGATCAGATACACAACTACGAAGGTGGGTGTGAAAAGGGATTAATCAACCAATCACCCAATGCAAGACATCGTACAAAAGGTCACTTATTACACCTCGACTAGATACTAGAGATATATGCAAAAACGACTTTTGATTTTCCAACGCAGCAGCGAATCTTTTTCTAAACAGGAGGAAGAAAGGTATATATTAGTATGCTGATATATATAAGAGTTTAAGAGAAACAAAAAACGTATATACACACCGTACCGAATAAATGGAAGACTTTTGACAAATGTTTTGAACAACTCACCGTGAGATTTTTTCCTTCTAAATACTTATCAGTGAACATCAAGTTACTTGAGTGGCCAACTATACTAATTCTGATTCACAGTAGGAATTTTTCAAAAGAACAACCCTAGAATTATGGAACCCTACTCAAAATAGGTACTACTAGCATTTTATTTAGTAGTCTTTGGAAGTTCTTCAACTGGACAAAAACAGCATAAATCTCACGGCCATGGCCTCTAACAACTCGTTGAATCCGTGAGTTGCATGTCTTCAATACCACTCAGTTTGTAACAGGTTTCAAAATCTTAAAATCAGAATCTTTGAGGCCAAAGGCATCAGGCTGAGTCATTTGTTTGTCCTAACTTAATAAACACAGCAAATTAAATACATCTGGTTCTGTGGGTCACGTTCAACGGTGGCATTAGCCTTTAAAAAAACATTTTAGCATAAATAAATTATTACGCTGAACGGAAATTATACGATAGCAAAACTATTATTAGTTTGCCGAAACTACAAAGCTATTCGATGTGTGAATAAGAAATTGCACACACAAATTTGAATCCATAGTACAGAATAATTTCCACGAATTCACAATTATCCCGAGACTTAATGAAATTAGTTACGTAGTAAAGTGTTACTCATCACATTTACGGTTACCTCGAAATTTTATGAGATGCTCGCTTTCAGTGTTGAAACGAGAACAGAATACGTCCTTGAAACCCCCATTTTTGGCCTAATAAAACCACCTGAAACGGCACTAAAAACTCAATCCCATTCACGCATAATTTGAATAGACGTATTCAATTACTCACATCCTTCCAACTGTTGAAGGCGCAATGGAATGGGAAATATAATGATACAGTGTTAGTAATCTGGTACTGGAGACATCCTAGTGGTTGTAGAGGAAGCAAATCAGGTGCAGCGACAATAAATTGCAATCATCTATTAAGTTAGCATAAACAAACGAAAATTTGTGTCCAAAATTCACATCAACCAATTATAAGATAATGAAGGCCACTGGATTTCATCACTTTCTGCCTCATGTTATTCTTCACGCCCCCTCTACCCAAAAAACCGTAAACGACGACGAAGAGACTGTAAAAGTAAACTAAATGCGATAACACACCACTTCACAACAAAGCTCACGAAGGTAAATGTTACTAAGCCCAGCTGTGGTTCTGATTGAACTGACCGACCACGTGGTTCACAATACTTATCGAAAGACAGATTATAAGCAGAAAGGCATATATAAATCAACGCTAGATTGCTTCAGCATTACTCGGTTTCTCTACCTCATGCGATTGTCTTCAAGCCCAAATTTCTCAACAACTTGCTTGAATAAAGGAGAGGTAGTCTGAATCGTTCTTTCCCTTTATTCCGCTTGAATTGTCCCACTCTATTCTCTCAAAAGTCCTCTATTGTCTAGATGCATGGGAAAGAAGAAAATTCGAATAATTTTAAATTTTGATTTTAAGCGCGATCTCTCGTAAAAATGACTCATAGATGATAACTACGTCAATGAGGATGGCAAAATAGGTTAGTAGATGTGAAACTTACTTGGCGAACACCGACAGACATATCAGACCACATTTTCTTAATATTCCAGAAGAAGGCGGCATTGCAGAGCTGGCAGACATCCGATTCGGCCCAGTTGGGAGTCTCTTGACGATGTACCCGCCTACCACGTGAATCCTCCCCATCGATTAGCCAGAAGTAGACCAGACCGTCTAGACCTACGGAAATGACATAAGTTGCATAGTTGGCAGCTGGGCGTGCGTCACTAGTCGACAAAGGCTGATCACCGTTTTTTGCTGAGAGTGACAACGGCCTATGCCACCACTTGGCTGTCGTAACAGTGCTCTTGTGACCCTATAGAAAAGGCAAAATATGGTCAAAAAACACCTCAAAGCTAACATTTAAGAGTCATTCGGAACGACCAACAACGACCAGAATATTCGAACATCATCTGAAGTGACCTTAAAGTCTGTATGTTGATCACGTTTTTTTAACAAATCACCATAAAATATGAGTTAACAGACAAAAAATATATAAAAAATCTCCTAAAATGCAAATATAGAAACCGTAACGACCTGTTATTGCCTGGCCTAAATTTCAATTAATTACTTCAGTAGTTTTGTTAAACGAGAATACTTCTACCCTGACAGTAAATTATAACCTCAAGATTTGATAACTTGGGTTGCCATAGTCTAGAATAATTCTCTGCCAAATATCCCGCTGAATAAAATCTACCGGTTGTAGCAAGGATTACAACAGCTGGAAGTCCCATCTATACTATAAAGTTATTACTTTGCATGTTCGTATTTGAGGGGAATCGATACAGTTATTAAAGTAAAATTTAATGGGAATGTAACTTTTAAGAGACTCAGTTTTGTCAAAAAGCAGAAGAGTAAGATGTGCATATGAGAAATAAATCATTACGGGAAGGTAAAGCTCATGTAGGTAAGTGATCGTCTAAAAATACTTAGTTCACCAGTTTAGCGCCCAATAGTACAAGTTTTACAATTATAAATGCCCACTAAGAGAGAACATTCAAATTGCCAGATCAACTAAAATAATATAATATTGCGCATTAAACGAAGTTAGCTATAGCTAATTTCATTTTTGAACGTTTTAGCAAAGTAGATAGGGCAGAACAATTAAAAACATGGATGAGATATCTTTCCATACATGCCGCTTCTTTATCGAGAAATGTCAATCAAATTTTTGCGGGTCCCCAAGCATTTAATAGTGCAATTCTTCCTAGACGCGATTGAATTCGAAAGGCAATAAATCTGAAATTAAAATTTCAAAAAAAGACCTAAAATCAATCTGTCATAGAAACGATGACAGTAATAAAAAATGTTCTAGACTTTGAGAACCTTAAAAGACACAAGGAGACTAACTCGATTCGAATTGTACTTTAATACGATAGAATACGAGCAAAAATATTATATCATAAAATTGAAAATTAGGCTTGAGGAAATAGAGGTGGAATGCAAAAATCAACGTTGTAACTTCTCAACCTTGATCCAAATCAGGGAATGTTAGACAAACCGCAATGGTCTAAATTACGCACAAATCCTTGCCATTTAAAAGCAGTTAAAAAGGATTCGAAAAATTTAACTATTTAAATTAACTAAAATTATCCTCTTTTCACCACGGGAAGTGGAAGTAATACTATTTTTTGTAAAACTTCAATGACCTTTTTAATAGTTAAAAAAGTTCACTTCAATAAAACTGGACTCCGAATCGAAAATGGTGAAGATGAATATGAAGATAACAGGCATAACTCACTTGAAGTTCATAGGCAGTACCTTTTCCACCTCCAATATCCCAAAGAATAACAGAATTATCCGCAGAAGAGGAAATGAGGCGAGAAGTAACTGCATCCCAGCACATCGATGTGACACTTTTTGTGTGACCATTAAATTGACGGATCAGTTCATAAGATGAAAAATCACGAGATTTGGCGAAACTAAGAAGTGTAATTCTTCCATTTGCATCGCCAACAAATAGACATTTGGTAGCAACATCGAACCTTGAAAAGTATTAGATAAATAAGAGACATTCTATGTACTCACTGTAAGCATGTTCCAGAGGCTTCAATATTGAAAGAAGCAATTCGTTGACCTGTTTCATCATTAAACCAGGTACACATTTGATCTTTCGAAGTTGAAATGATGAGTTTTAGTTCTTTAACCCACATAAGACCAGTGATGCGGTCAACATGAGCCAAAATATCACGATTGTGGTTCATGCAATTTAGATCAGCAGAAAGAGTGAAATCAGATATTGTTCCATTTGCAAGACCAGTGATAACTCGACTAGAAGGGTTATCGTATAAGATGATAACAGCGGGACCTAACAAGTGAATTTAGGGAAATATAAACCACCTTACTCGGAAGCACCTTTTCAACCGACGGCCAGTATCTTCCACTATCTCGCATTACCCATAACCTCAAAGATCTGAAAAATTAAATTGTAAAACGAGTAACCTGTCCTCGGAACTTGTCAAAATATAATTTTCTTTGTTAAGGAAAACAGCATCGTGTACGTCACCTTCAAATCCATTAATTATGGATATTAAATCAGGTTTGGTGCCAGACTTTAATCCAGGAGTAACAATCGAAGCCATTTCTTTTAGGATTCGATTATTTGGCTTCTGATAACCCACGAAAATACGCCGGTGTGATTAGACAGAAAAACAAACGCTTCATACTGTTTTGGTTCGTGCGATTTTCCTACTTGTTCATATAATCAATCATTTAAATTGAAGTTTTACAATTATATTAAGAGTAAATTTAAATACTTTATGCCTTATCTAATCTTCTGATGTTTTTGCGTGATCGCTAACAGAAACATCCCTTTTGTGGACTTTCGATTATTACAATAGTATTCCTACTGACTCAACCATCAGCTTTAATTTCGATATAAGATCCTATAATTAAAATATTACATCAAAACTCCTATTTCAGGTTACTTAGATGATTAAGTGAGTCATTATCATGTTTTCATTCATGGGGTGTACGATAGACTTACCTCCTCGTGGTGCACATTGGACAACGTATACTCATACTGCAAAAAAAGTCTATTAACTGGCAAGGATTCGAAACTTTCTTTATTTGCACTAACCAAAGTCCGTTTCCACATCAGCTCTTCTTCCATAGTCCGCATCCAGTCTCAGTCTTTTAACCCTTTTTTGCTCCAATTTTTAAATTGTTTAAACAGGCTCTTTGTGTCCTGATATATTTATCTTGCAAAGGCCTAGCAGAGTATAACAGTCTTTCTTAAAAATAAGTTGGACAAATGCGTGCTAGGCGAACTGGAAAGATTGAGAGGAAGAGTGAGGAGAATGTATGAAGGCACAGGAAGAGTAAATGGAAGGAAAGAGAAATGTCAGCACTGAGCGAGAGAAACTAGGTGGTGATGCTATGGCAAATGAAGGAACAAAGCAGTTAGCCAATTTTTCGTTCTTTGTTCATCGATAAAACCCATCTGGGGACATTTATAACAGCAAAGAAATGCAAATAAACTTGATAAAATGCTACAAAGTGATTTAGGTATACTGACCCACCAATGAGCCTTCTTTGAACGCCATTAAAATCTTCTTAATTGCCATTTTTTAACTGCTTTCCTAATTACCTACTGAATTATCAATAACCTCTTTGCTATATTTTCCTCTTTAATCATGGGGTGTGCGATAGACTTACCTCCACGTGGTGCACCCTGGGCAACGTATTCTCATACGGCAAAAAAGTCTACTAACTGGCAATTGACTTCTCACTTCAAATTACCATCACCTCACTCTATGCCATATTCGACTATTTCCACAGTACTCACCTCACCATTGTTCTACCTTTGTGGTTGTCCCTTAAATCTTTGAAACACTCTTCTGTCCCCCCCCCCTTCTTGAATTTTTCAATTTGATGTTCCTTCCCCTCTGTGAAGCCTGAAATCAACTTAAAGGCTAGTGATGACCATCAAGACGCTTGCCATTT